GTAAGCATCCGTTTTTTTTCTATCTCTCACTATCTCTCTATCTCTTTCTCTCTTCTCTCTCTCTTCTCTCTGTCTCTCTCTCTCTCTCTCTCTCTCTCTCTCTCTTTCTGCGTATACCTTGCGCGCGTGAGCTCGCTTCGAAAAGAGGGCGGCACGGCGGGGAGTTCAAATGCGAGACTGTCAGATCGATCGAAAGAGAGCGAGAGCAAGAAAGAGATAGATAGGTTTAAGATACATACATACATATATATATATATATATATATATATATATATATATATATACATTTTTAAAAGGATTTATTGCGTATATAATATTGTTCGAATGCAAGATTCATCCTTTTACATTTTTGACGATATAATTTTGGTTATTACGAGAAAATTATCTGACAAGGATAACGCATAAAATGATTTCTTAAGTTTTTCAGTTTTACATAAACGTTCCTCCATTTCGTTAGTTGTTTGTTTTCTTTCTCTTTTTTTTTTTTTGTTTTAGTTTCAGATTCATATATTTCGTTCGATTATTAAACACTTGTGATCGATTCCCAACGCACACGAAATAGTTCCCGATCGCCGCGTCGATTCCCGAAGATGTACGATTTTACACGAACTCGCGTAGTACTACACCTATAGCGCGATTCACGAGGAGAAATCGTAGTAAACGAAGCAACGTGCTCGTCGATTCGTTTACAACGACGTCACGAGTACTGTCAGAGGGACGCTACTACCAGTACTATTACAATACTACTACTCTACTACTACTACTACTACTACTCTACTACTACTACTACTACTACTACTACTACTACTACTATTACTACTACTACTACTACTACGTTACTACGTTATAATACGTTACACAAGTTACTACGTAACAAGCTTCGTTCTTCTGATTCGATAATTGTCTTTCCTTAAATATGCTTTTACTATCATCGAAACAACGATCCACACGACAATCTTATCACGTACGTAGAAATGTTTTCCTTCTTCTTTTTTCTTTTTCTTTTTAAATACATATCATTCAAGGTTACATCTGGTTATGTTTCTCATTTATATATTGCGTCATATATTATCATCATGATATTACGTTCTTGAGAATACCTATGACAAATGTGTTTGTTATAAAATATACATATATATATATATATATATATATATATATATATATATATATATGTATATATGTATACATCCATGCGTATACTTGCTACGCAATTTTTCTAATCGTGAACAGTTACGTTTGTTATTGTTAATAACAATTTATTCGAGTGTCATAATTTATTAGATTCATTCGTAGATTATATATCAATACGAATGTTATAGATATTTTGGGGAAATTAAAAGATAATAATGTTTAATCGAATAAAATGTTTCGAGGGGCCCGATCAAAGAGAGAAACTATTTCGAAACATGTTGACGTGACTGATTTACGTTAGCAAGGTGACCTTGAAGCCGACGTGAACTGCACAGGCGAATAAAATGGCAGCGAACTCATATAATATATACCGATGTATATATATATATATATATATGTAGTTTTTAAATTCAATCTGATAATAATCGACAAAAGAATGTCTTTCATCAGAAATAACTTTCATTGTGTTTAATTAGAAAGTAATTCTGTGTTGATAATTTATCGTTCATTAGACGGTGCAACTAGGACACATAATTATGATATTATACTTATTTTCTAGGGATCACTTTGATTTTGTTAATATTCACGTATTTATACATATTCACATATAATATAAATAAGTAAATAAAAAAAAACAAGTAAAAAAGAGATCGTTTTTACATATATTCACATGATTATATATATATATATATATATATATATATAATTCTGAAGTTTATATAGACTGTTTTCAATTATGTTTACGAAGGAGATAGAGTTCACATGAGAAAATAGATCGATAATTTTAAGTGACATTTTTGTTTGTTTCTTTTTTTCTTTTTTCTTTTTCCTCGAATAAATCAACGTTGAAAATTCTACCATCATAAACTATTGTTTGCATACATATATATACATACATACATATACATACATACATAGATACATACATACATACATACATACATGCATATATATTGTTTATCATATATATCTCTGATATTTGAATGAATTAAATATTCAACGAAAAGTGAGGGATAGTTGAGAAGACAGAGGATCGAGAAAGTTTTTTGTTGATCGATTAGACTGAAAGATTCTAACGACTTGGAGATTATTAATTTGAACAGAGAATTAATTGTATTCGAACGTTTATCAGAGACAACAAACTCGAAGACTAAATAATAATATGGTATTCTAAACTTGTAGGGAGTTTCGTCTTTGTTTTTCTTTCGAATTGCTTGCAAAGTTTTAGATGCTGATATATATATATATATATATATATATATATATATCGACCTAGGAGAAAAGGCGTGTATAACGTTCGCACTCTTAACGATGTTATTTAAAGTTCGTGACATAGTAGTGCCCGAAACTCTTAAGAAGAGATATA